CCACTGTTCTGGTTCATTAATATGATAAATATGTCCAACATCATGGTTAGATAAGATCTAAGATATGAAGGGGCATAGGGAATAAGCATTTCATTCAATTAAGTATAAACATTTTGTTTGGGTAAGTTCAGTAGTGTCTGAATATCTGAATGATTAGAAGAGTTATATGATTAGAAAGATTGAAAGATTTATAGAAAAGTCTAAGGTCAGAATTGTTAAATTAGTTTTATTTTTCATATTTGGATGACAGTGTTACCTTCAAACATTTCTCTTATATGGAATTTTTGTTATTATAGATGGTACCTTCCACAATTCCTAGCTATTTAGAAGTAATTGAAATGGTAAAATACCAAAATATATAGAAAGAATGACAGGGCAAGGAGAAGGAATCAAAGATACAGTGCTTGGTATTACTTCTTTGATATTATTATTTACATTTTACCTTAAATAGGATACAGCTTAATTAAATTTATTATTTTCCTGTTTGTAGAATGGGGAAAATAGTAAGATTTTTGCTTCCTTATTTCAAAATCATTTGTCTTTCTTGGAATATATATTAAAATGTGTAATTTGTGTGTTTATGGAGTTGGTGTGTGGCTAAAAGGCTCGCATTTCTTCTAAGAATACAGTATAAATTGGAAAACAGTAAAAGTGGCATACTCACAAAATCAGGCACCTTCTAAACCATAGGATAATTGTATGTTTAATTATGTCTTTTGAAAATTTTATTAGAGAAGGAAAAATACTCAGAATCCAGGGAGTTTTAGGAAGAGAGATCAATATCCAGGGGGTTGAGGACAGAAGGCATCGACTCCCTTTAGTTAAGCTGCTCGTCACAATCACAGTGTTTTCTGCTCCTTCCCAGCATCTCACCCACTGTGTCCTCCGCCTGGTGCCGGGTTTCTGTGCCTCTTCTCTCACACAAAGGAGGCTAGAAGACTAACTTCTGAAGCTAGAAAGTGATTATTAGAGTTGTTAAAAGTGACTGCTTTGAAAGATCTAATCATTCTTCGTGAAGATGGTACTTCTGTATCTTCCTACACTTGAATTTTGACATTATTTTCTGTGAAACATCAGAAGCTGTTCAAGTCACAATTCCAAAAAGGTGTGTGCCTCTTTAGATTTGTGATTTGGTATATTATATTTATAAATAAAAGCAGACTTTTTTTTTTCCTGGGGCTAAATGTCTCCTTAACAATCATTTCAATCCACAGAGCCAGATTAGAAAATCTTGACTAGAGAAACTGCATATAAAGAGGAATGTTACACAAGTATTTATAATGTAAACACATCAACTCAGAATTTTTAAAACAAATGCTACTGATTATGAGATCGCTTTATAATTTTATGACTCATTCAATTTCTTTTTTGCTAGGATAGGTTTTAAAAATTTTTTCTTGGGGGCCAGCCCTGTGGCTGAGTGGTTAAGTCCACATGCTCCACTGTGGCGGCCCAGGGTTTCACTGGTTCGCATCCTGGGCTCAGACATGGCACCGCTCATTAGGCCATGCTGAGGCAGCATCCCACATGCCACAACTAGAAGGACCCACAACTAAAAATGCACAACTATGTACTGGCGGGCTTTGGGGAGAAAAAGGAAAAATCTTTAAAAAAGTTTTTTTTTTTAAATTTTTTATCTTTATTGCAGTAACATTGGAGTATTACATTATATAACTTTCAGATTTACATTGTAATATATTTCAAATTCTGTGTTGATTATATCATGTTCACCACCCAAAGACTAATTATAATCCATCACCACACATGTGCCTAATCACCCTAAAAATTTTTTCTATTTAAAATTTTTTCTATTAAATTTTTTTAATTTTGAGAGAATTGTAAATTTACATACAGTTGTAAAAAATAACACAGAGAGATGCATATTCCCTTCACCCAGTTTCCCCAATGGCAATATCTTGCCTAACTACAGTACAATATTACAACCAGGAAATCTACATTGATACAATCCACTGATTTTATTCAGGTATCACCAGTTTTGCATGCACTCATTTATGTGTGTGTGTTTAATTCTATGCAGTTTCATCACGTGTAGATTCATATGAACACCACCACTGTCAAGACACAGAACAAGTTTATCACAAGGATCCCTCCCGCTGCCTTTTTAAAGCTGCAAGTACCTCCCTTCTTACTCCCACTTCCTTAATCCCAGCAAACTACTAATTCTGTTTTCCATGTCTATCATTTTGTCAGTTCAAGATAAATGGAATAAAACACTCTTTAACCTTTTGAGATTGCTTGCTTTTTACTCAGCAATATTTCCTTGAGACCATGCAAGTTGTGTGAATCCATAGTTTGCTCCTTTGTGTTGCTTAGTAGTAGTCCATGTATGGATTACCACAGTCTAACTATCCCCCCATTTAAGGGTATGTGGGTCGTTGCCAGTTCTTGGCTATTTATAATAAAGCTGCTGTGAATAGTTGTGTACAAGTTTTTGTGTGAACATTTTCATTTCTCTGGGATAAAGAATGCAATGCTGGCTCACATAGTAACCACAAGTTTCATTTTGTAAGACACTGCCATACCCTTTTTTAGAGTGACTGTACCATTTTACATGTCCACCTTTGATGTATGAGTTTTCTCCGCATCCTCACCAACACTTGATGTAATCACTAATTTTTTTTACATTTTAGCCATTCTGATAAGTATGTACTGATATCTCAATGTGGTTACACATTATTTGCATTTACCCAATGGCCAGTGACATTGCACATCTTTTCATGAACTTAGTTACTTATCCTCTTCAGTGGAATGTCCTTGTCTTTTGCCCACTTTCTAATTGGATTTTTAATACTGTTGAGTTTTGAAAGCTCTTTACATGTTCTAGATACAAGTCCTTTGTCAGAAATGTCTTACAAATATTTCCTCCCAGTCTCTACCTTGTCTTTTCATCTTCTTCACAGGATCTTTCCCAAAGCATCCATTTTTTTATTTTGATGATCAATTTATCATTTTTTTCCTTATATGGATCATACTTTTGGTGTGTCCAGTATAAGAACTCTTTGCTTAGCCATAGGTTCTGAAGATTTTTCTCCTAAAAGTTTTATAGTTTTATGTTTTACATTAAAGTCCATGTTCCGTGGTGAGTTAATTTTTGTATAAAGTACAAGGTGAGGTCAAGTTCTTTGAATGTCAGTTGCTCCAACACCATTAAGTGAAAGCCTGTCCTTCCTCCATTGAATTGCTTTTATACCTTTGTCAACCATCAACTATACTCACAAGAATAGTATATATTACAATTTCACCTCTATTTTTACCCATTCTGATATTCTTCTTTCCATTCCGGACGACTCTGGATCCTACTTTATCTTCTATATTAGCAAGTAGTCCCCTAGTTGAGGTGTAGTGCAAGGGCTGGGTGAGTTGTCAGCTTCCCACGGGGCCCTGCTGTCACCACCCTGGCAAAAGGAGAGCACTGACCAACACTCCTTGCAGTTCAGCTCCCCTGCCTGGCAAAAGTGGGCACTGATTTGCATAGTCTTGTTGCCTCCAAGTGCAAAGGTAATCTCAGCTCCCCAATGGACCCCATGACCCCAGGGAAGGGGGTAGGGAAGCAGAGTGTTAACTAGCCCATGTCCCACCACCTTGTTTCACTTTGTTGATCCCAGATGGGAGTGGAGGCCCAGATTGCCACCGAGCCCTGCTAACACTGAAAAGGGTGTATTTGTTTCTTATGGCTACTGTAACAAATTACCACAAATTTGGTGGCTTAGGAAAACAGAAATTTATTATTTTATAGTTCTGGAGGCTGGAAGTCTGAAATCAAAGTGTCAGCAGAGCCACACTCCCTCTGAAGGCTGTGGAGGAGAATCCTTCTTTGCCTCTTCCAGGTTCTGGGGGCTCCAGGTGTTCTTTGCCTTGTCCTACAAAACTCCAATCTCTGCCTCTATCTTCACATGGCCTCCTCGTCTCCACATGTCTCTCTGTCCATCTCTTGTAAGGACACTCGTGATTAGATCTAGGGCCCACTCAAATAATCCAGGATAATCTCATCCTGAGGTCCTTAATTTAATTATGTCTGCAAAGATCCTTTTTCCAAACAAGGTCACATTCATGGTTCCAGGGATTTGATAAAGACATATCTTCTAGAAGCCAAATTCAACACACTACAAAGGGGAAACCATTGATGCTGAGTGGGGATGGAGGCTCAGCATCCTGCTGGGCCTTGGCGACACTGGTGATCAGGGGAGCACAGTGAAGCTGAATGGTGACTAGCCCTTCTTTGCACTAGTTGGTTAAGTCTTGTTGCTGCCAGATGGAAATGGAAGCTCACTTTGCCACTGGACCCCACTGACACTATTCCAGCAGGGATATCAGAGCACCACTACTAGCTTCTGTTGGGTGGAAGATGGAAAATCAGCTCCCTGCTTGTCAGCCTGTACCACCTGGGAGGGTAATCAGAGTGCTGTCTGCTTTTGCCAGGTAGAAGGTGGAAGATTAGCTCCCTGCTCAGCCTTGCCAACACCACAGGGTGGGGGTGTCAGAGCACAACCACCTGCTTCTGTGGGATGAGGTGAGTGAGGCGGAAGATCATCTCTCTGCCTTGTCCCATTGAAACCATAGGGTGAGGTGGATGCAGTTTTTAGGCTGATGTAGGGTGGATATTGTCAAAAAGATTTTTGTTTTTTTAGGCCACCTTTTTGTTCATAGCCACTCCTATGGCTAGGAGGCACAGGCTTTTTCTTGAAGCTTTTTGTTGTTGTTCTTCCCGCCTGTTGGTGTCTCCAGGCTGGAGGCTTCTGCAGCCCCCTGTCAGGAATATATGGGAGGAAATAAGGAAGCCCAGAGAATTCGCTGCTATGTCATTCCTAAAGTCCCAAGGTCTCTAGGCAGTTTGCCTTCTTCTTTCCACCTATGCGTGAGTCTTCCTGTGTTGTTTGTTGTGTTATAGGCAGGGCCGTTTGGTTGTCAGAGGAAGGACTTGGGAGGAATGGGCTACTACATCTTGGCCAGAACCACAAATTGATTCATGACTCATTCAATTTTAAGTTCCAGATATCATTGGCCATACGTTCTAGTGGAATTCTTTTCTATTTTTGTGTTCAGGTTTCCTACAGCTATCAATGTAAGCAGTAAGTGAAGGAAAAACAATTTAAAGTATATTTTAAGCTTTAATTAATGCTGACCTCTGACTGTATATGCTTTCTTAATGATTCTTTTGTAGAGCATTTTCCAGGGAAAAAAGCGAAAGATAAAAGTGCATTAAGAATATTTGTTATTCAACATCATTCTTATATGAGATTAAAAACTATATTTCACGCTGTTCTCTTTTACAAGTTCTTATTTTCACAAAGTACCTTCAGTAATTTGTCCAAGAATACTGTCTAGAATAGTTCAACAGTGTTTATGCATATTGACTTAGAAGTAAACTGCATATTGCCACACGTGACATTATATGGCCTCATTGTAATGGCCTCATTTCTTCCTTAGGAATGATGAATGCCCATTACGATGACATCCACGTCCTGATGGAGCTTTGTGTGTCTTTATTCCCTCTTTTGCATTGAGGATGAAGTTTACTAAGTTGGAAGGCATGGTTGCTTCAATTATTGATGGGGACAATTTTCCTCTCATTTCTGTTTGGACAAACATCACTAGTCGGGAATGTGCTGGGTTCCTGTAAACAGAGGAAAAGTTAAAAAATATAAAGACATTTTAGATTTATTTATTGAATTTACAAGCTTATAGAGAGTAGGATTCTTGTCTTATTCACCATTGATTCCCTTCATAGTGCCTATGATAGGATAAATAGTTACAGAAGGAAGGAAAGAAAATGAAGGTAGAGTGATTTTCACACTCATAAATAAACATTTACATAAAAACATTAAGCAAGTAGTCAGACTATAGTTTATTATTTATTTATTTATTTGGTGAGGATGATTGGCTCTGAGCTAACATCTGTTGCCAATCCTCTTTATTTGCTTGGGGAAGATTGTCCCTGAGTTAATATCTGTGCCAATCTTCCTCTATTTTGTATGTGGGATGCTGCCACAGCATGGCTTGATGAGCAGTGTGTAGATCTGTGCCTGGGATCTGAACCCGAGAATCCCAGGCCGCTGAAGCGGAGCATGCGAACTTAACCACAGACCATATTTTAAAGTCTTCAGTTTTAGTCAGCTTTTTCTTTCTGTTATTTTATGGATTTTTTAAATTACAAAAATAATGTATGCTTCTGAAAATTTAAACTACAGAATTTTCATAATTATTCCCCTTCTTCTGTTTCCCAGAAATAATCACTGTTTATAGTTTTGACTGTATTTTTTCAGACTATTGTCTATCAAAGATAGCATAGATATGTACATATGTATGTACCCCACATATACACACATATACATTTTTTTAACAAAAATTAGACATATTTTTATGCAACTAGTTTTATTCCAGTAGGATATCACGCACCTCCTTCTGTGTCAAAACATACAGCTCAGCTTAATTGTTTTACATGACTGCATACAGTATTTCATACTCTATTTAACCAGTCCTTTATTGACTATCATTTGGGTTGTCTCTCACTTTTTGCTACTGTAAATAAAGCTGCAATAAAACATCTTCGTAATGTATCCATTTGCACTTATATAAACACTTACACAGAATTTCTAGGTCAAAGGTTTTGTGTATTTAACGTTTGGAAATGTTATTTCCAAATGACTCTCCAAGAAGGCTGTGGTATTATATTCTAAACCAGGGTTCTTCAAACTGGAGTATGTGAAGACTTTCCAAGGGGTATGAGAGGATCAATAACATTTAAGGGAATAAATTTTCAAATCTCTAACTTCCATATGTACGTTTTCCTTCAACTGATCTGAGACTATGTCTCTGATGGAGCTGTGGGTTTTTCCTTTCCCACTGGCCTGTTCATATCACACTTCTGTTGCTTTACAGAACAAAGGTATACCTGTCATCCCCTCCGGATAGTACCGAATAGTACTATGGTGCTTTACCCTGGCATATAAAAATCCTTGAGAAGCCAAAGGGAAAATCTGATCTCCTAAAAGTGAGTTGAGAAAGTGAATGACTAATGATTGGGTAATAAGTCCTGACCAAGTCATATTGTCAATTCTTTGCTTTCAATAAAATTTAAGGATCTAATTGAGTTGTCAGCTGACAGGTCATTAAAAATAGTTTTTGATTATAAATAACTGTGATTTGTGGTATTAACTCAGAAGAATGTCAAGGGATTGAAGGACAGTGTTAGAATTATACTCTTTCCATTTTAACCCACTTATTTATGTAAACAAAGTTTCTCAGTGCTTATGTTTATAAAGATGCAAAGTAGGAGTAGTCTTGATATTAATTGTTGTCTCATTTTATTAGTAATATCATTCCACCGTTAAATGAGTGTAATTGTTAGAAGCATGGGTTCTGGAACCAGTCTGCATTGGTTAAGAGCTGAGTTGTGCTATTATGCATGTGTAACCTTGAGAAAGTTACTTAATCTCTTTGGGCTTCCATTTTCTTTTCTGCAAAAAAAGGACAGCAATACTACCTACTTCATGGGGCTATTGTGAGGACCAAATGAGTCAATACATGTGAATTGTTTATGACAGTGCCTGGCACATAGTAAGTGCTATCTAAAGTTTGCTAATAATAAAAGATGTGTTTCCAATAACAGTTTGCTTTTATATTTAATAATTATATAACATATTTGATAATATACTTTTTATTTTGATCAATATATAATAATTTAATCCAGCACACACATATTTTTTGACATTTAGATACTTATGATCATAAGAAATAAAACGAATTTTAAAAATTAAATACTTATTTTTGCCGAGAAATATGACAGAGTGATTAATAAAATAATTCGAGGCATAAAATATATTTTATAGGATAAAATTATGTGAGGGAAAAAGAGTAAAAATATTGGTTCAAGGAGAAAAGGAATTACTAAAATTTCTGACTGCTAAAGGTTGTATGTATTTTGACACTGATAATGTAATGGTCGGTTTCAAGTTATTATGGTATTTGGCTTCTATTGGATACATTTACAATGGTGATATAACAATTTTTTAAAACTGTCAATATTTAAAGTATGCTGGAAATTGTACCCTCTTAATTTAATCCTATGAAAAAGTTTAATATCAACTTAAAAATAGGCAAGGCAGAATATAGTTTTACAGAATTCTTTTAGGGGCTATGAAGACCACTGCTCCAACAAACTGTGTGAGTGTCCATTTTCTTATACCCTCTCTACGCAGAGCTTAGACTGCTCTTCCAGTGCCTCCGATGGCTGGATTGAGAATACTCACAGCAGTTCATATGGTCTTAAGTCTCTGGCTGAGTTTACTAGGGCTTTACACACTTAAGAAAGCCTTTCCTATATTTACTGGAGAGCACTTTTACTACCGATATTACGTTTTATAAGTTTACTACATGACTCGTTTACAAATGTTGGCTGTCCAAAATGTAGGGCTGCACAGAAAGAGAAGGTGCAAGAGACTCACTTTTAGGCAGTACCAGTCTCCAGACTGTGAGGAGACTGTATCTTTCCCAGCAGGGTGATAGGCAGAGCTCCCCCGCTCGATGGGATATCTAGATCAGCGGAAAGAGAAAGCTGACAAGGTGCAAGAAGGGGACTTGGCCTGTGAAGCACACTGTAGGGTGTGTAGCTTCCCAACTAGCGTCCCTGCCAGCAGTTGACTGACCTAGCTGATGTGGAGCAAGGATCCTTCCCTTGTTTCGTTCCCTCCTGCTGTGGAGAATAAAGCTTGGCCATAGATTCAAAACTGACAAATAGGTAGAAAGACCACACATCACCATCATCATCAGCAGCAGCAGCAGCAGCAGCAGCATCATCTGCACCAATAATCCTATCTATTAATGTAAATAATTGTGAATTTCTTTTAGTTCTCCAGTTCATTAGAGAAAACATTAAGGAATACAGGTCTCAAATGTAATTTTATTTTGACTTCCTTCATAGAAATATTTTTTCTCACATTGAGAGGTTTATGTCTGACCAATATAAAATTGTACATGTTTTTATATGCCAATATCTTTTACGTAATATAAAATCATTTAGCGAAAATGAAAACTTAAGGAACTTGTGAAATGATATACATTGAATTAATGTACATGCATTTACAGAGCATGTGTTACCATTTTATCCCTGGGGCGGCCACCGGTAGGCAGTGACTCATCTCCGACTTCCCCAGGTCTTCCCTTATCCCAATTTACCTACGGAATGTCTCATTCTGCGGGTATCTGTTCTCAGCAGGTAGTCCATTGGGAAGAATTCATTCAAGATAAAGCATTCATTGTTGATAATGTAAATGTATTATAATTCTAGGGGAATTTATTTTTAATTCACAAAAATTCCTTAACAATTCACAGAAGTGACTCTAATGGAGAAATATAAAACATCAGGTTAAGTTTAACTGGGGGGGAAATGTCTGTTTGTGTCACTAGCTCCAGAAACCTCAAATCATACTTTACAGGAAATTATCCATTCTGATTATACTTAAGGTGAAAATACTTATAAACATTATTTTAAAAATTGCATTTACACAACCAGGGGCACTCACAACTAGAATATACAACTATGTACTGGGGGGCTTTGGAGAGAAGAAGAAGAAAAAAAAAAGGCGATTGACAACAGATGTTAGCTCAGGTGCCAATCCTTAGGAAAAAAAATTGCATTTAGGGGCAATTTTTTTCCGAATAGAATTATGCTGGCACATATTTCTACTGATGTGTTAAGAATCCTTTAGTTTATAAATCACAAATTGAACTAGAAGGTTAAAATAAAATAAATAAACGCAAGTAACACTTACTCTTGCAGAGGTGAACATACGTAGCCACAAGCATGGTTATAACCACGGATGTAATTTGAAGATGGAGGATATGCTGGAAAATCCACACTCCCAGCTGAGTGATTTAAAAACAAATTACAATGAAATCTATTCCACAAAGATGAAAAGTTCTATTTCGAGTAGCATATTTTAAAAAAGTGTGACATAGTATTTAATTTAACTTAGTTATTATCAGCATTGACACTGTTTTATACATGTGTATGTATGTCTGCACAATGAATGTGTACACAGGCCAAAACTGAGAAAATACCAGTATGAGCACCGTTGTCCTCTCAAACTTTTTTGTGCTAGTATTTCTAGGCATGCTGTTACATTTTACATACAAGAAAAACTTTAAAAAGTATCATTTAATTACTTTTGAAGATTTGAAGCAAAAGAAGAAATCACAAAGAAAAATACTATTCTATTAGGATAGTGGGTTTATAGATTTTTTTGTTAATCATTTTTTAAATAAAATATTTGATGTGATTATTTGGCCTATCAATAAAGATAGTTTAAATACCTTTTTCTGCCAATTCCCTGTAGCTAACTTCAAAGTATAATTAAAAATGAGTAGAGTTTGTTTTAGGAAATATGTAGCATAACTGGATTGTATGTGAATGTATGAGAGGTGATTTGATTATGATTAAGTTTAAGAAAATTATATATATTCCTTCTAAAAATATTTTTAAAAATATATTTATTTATTCAGTGCAATTGAATTCTGTCTTGTCAGAGAAGATGCATTTTCCTATATGATTTTAACATTAGCAATCAATTCTGTGAAAAATACAATATTAAACACCAGCTTAGGACTAGCTTAGGAGACAAATGTGGTTGAATGAATTTTCCATTTTCATGACCTGTTTCATCATCTTAACAGAGCCTATTATGTGGGTGTAATGGTACTGCCAGAAGCGATATTAACATAATTTTTCTCTGTTTAAAATATGGAAAGTATGCTTGTCTTTAATAAATAATAATGTATACCTGAAATTATACAATGTTATAAACCATTATGATCTCAATAAAATAATTGAAAAAGAATTGTTATATTCCATAAACAAGTATGGGTCATATAGTGTGGCAGTTAGCACAGATTTTGGAAAATCAGAAAGACTTAGTTTTAGTTCTGGTTCAGCTGCTTATTAGCTATATAACTTAATTTCTGTGGACTTTAGTTTCCTCATTAGTGAAATAATGCATGCAAAATATTCAGCTCAAAGCAAGGTGCATAGTAAGTTAAATAATAACAAAAGAAACATTAAGAAGAAAACTATCAGTATTCATCAAAAATTCATTCAAAGAAAATTGCCTAAAGCAAATTCAGTAGTGATCACCCAATGACTGATTACTACTATTTGTTGATTTTAACTTCCATTCTTCTTTTTCACCTTCCCTCTGACCACTAAAAATGAGATAGAAGTGGTCTGCTTTCAAAATACAGAAAATAACAGATCAGACAGACAGCATTTTGTGTTGCAGCAGTGAATAAGTTTTTACGTGCACTCATTTGAAAAGTGAGACAACTAAATGACAACAATATGAGACAACTATATGAAAGTGATGACCGTCAGTCCTAGTGAGGTGCTACAACAGAGCTAACTGTGTGTTAGTGAGTGCTATTAGCAGAGCTGACTCAGTCTGGACTCTGAAACTTAGAATACTACAGACATATCAGAGTAACTGAAACCTCATAGTCCCTAGCCCTCAGTAGTTTACAGTAGGGAAAGCTACTTAGAGAGTAATGGTGAGATTAAATTGAATTATGGAAAAAAACAGGGCTCTAGGCCACTGTCCTACCAAAGTCCCTTTACCATGAGTTAAAGAAATTTGCGATATGAACTGGTATGTTTTAAGTGAATAATGCAAGTTAGGAAATGGTTATACGTTGGCATTCTACAGAGTGGCACATTTTTTGGGGGGATAAGGATATATCAAAACCTCTAGTTTCTAAAAGAAATATAAACACATTTATGTAAAGACCCAACTGGTGAAAATTTCTTCAGGAGTTTTATCAGTTAACAATTACGCAATTCAAATATAAAACTATATATCCAAAGATTACTTTTGTGTCTTTTGAAAATGTGTGCTGTCCAGGTTTAGCGTACAAGTATCTACTTATACTCAGTGCTGCAGTGTACATGCAGCACAAAGGCCAGGAGATGCCATCATCATTGACTATGATGTAAACGGTACCTCCAGAGTTGGGTAAAACAGCAGGCTTGTCTACATTATACATGTATTTACTGGCTCACTAAGTAAATAAAAAAATAATTAATTGAACACAGAGTTTCTTCCAAACTGTGAGTTAAATAAAAAAAAATTAATGACTCATAGTAACTCCAAAATGTAGGCAAAATGTTTCAACTTACAAGTGATAATATCCATATTCCCTTCGCAGTGCTTGAAGGACACTAAGTCAACAAAGTCTCGGGGGGAAATTGAGCCCATAGCAAAACTCTGTGTAATGGTATGACATATGAATGTGTCCTGAAACAAATCAAACCATAAAGATTGCAACAATTATTTAATATCTATTCTTTGTACTGTGCCCCAAAGAATTTCATTGCCTAAGGTTGGCCTGTATTTGGAAAAAACAGGGCTTTGAAGTATTAAAAACTTATCACCAAATAAGCTTGCATTTTCAGTGTTGGAGGAACATTAGATCTCTAATTATAAATGTAAGGCAACAAAAGCAAAAATAAACAAGTGGGCTACATCAAACTAAAAAGCTTCTGCATAGCAGAGGAAATGATCAACAAAATAAAAAGGCAACCTACAGAATGGGAGAAAATATTTGCAAATCACATATCTGATAAGGGGGTAACATAATTTTCTTTCTGAAAGAAAATTCAGAAAGGAATCTTGATATCATCTGCTCGTTGAATTTGTAGATGGAGAAATTGAAGCCTAACAGATTAAATCACTTGCACAACTTGAGATGAGTACAGAACTAGAACCCAGGTTTCCCAATCCCCAGCACAGTACTATTTCTCCTACTCCACATTGGCTAGGTAATATATTCTGAAAAATATACTGATTTAGCACCCTGTAGTGTAAGGCCTAAAATTAAAGACCAATATTGTGTGCTGCAGTGACATCTGCTGAAGTCTGGAGGCTCCTGAATGGCCTAACTACAAGTTTCTCTCCCTACTCTGTTTCCACAGATAAGGACTCTTAGCCAAACACTGCTTGCTCCTTATCAACAGCCTCAGACACATTTCCCACTTATCCCTCAGTAGTAGGTTTCAGTTCCCTGCTAGCCTGCAGAATTATTCCAACAACCCATCACTTTCTCCCGCAGGAATCAGGGGCCGCCTCAACCCTTGATGCTACAAAGCCTGCCTTGCTGTTCCTGAGTGCAACTCCCCTGTCACACTGCATAGTGAGGTGTGTCCTTGAGAGTTTATTGAGCTAAGCCACTCCATGCTATTCTTGCCTCAGCATCCATCTTGTTTGGCCAAACAGCCTATGGGAGCCTTAAACGGACACTAGTCCCCTCATGCAAGCACATACCCTAGATGGCAGCCCACAGAGGCCAAGGCAAATATACGTTGCTGATATGACTTCCCCAACAGCCCTGGTGATCAACAGTCTCCCCTGAGTCCCAGGGCCTTCCTCTGTGAGCCCTTTAGATAAGCACCCCCGGGGAGCTTACCAAAATCCTGCTCTTTCTGGTCTGAAATGATCAATATGGGCTTAACCCAGAAACCCCAAAGCACTCCACCTACACACTCTAATAAAGGCACCTGCACCAGGTCCTGCCTCTCTCTCTGCCTGCACCCTGCCTTGACCTCCCCGAATGGCCCCTTGAGGCATGCCGTGTACCTCCTCCGGGACCTGCGAATAATGAACTTCTCTATTTCAATCTCTCTTATGGTCATTTGTGAACCATGGCTCACCGTCTGGCACCCTGTGCTCCACTCGACAAACGCTAACAAAGTCCTAACAGTCATCATCCCCTGGGCTGTCGTTAATGATTAATAAACTGCTGTTGCTCTCATTTGTCTAGTGTAGGGTGTCCTGTGCTTGACCACCCCCAGAGCAGAACCCCTCCCTCACCAGTGGGGTGGATGAGTCAATTAAAACACACCCCTGGAGACGAATACTATAAATATTCAGAGGAAGGTAAAATAATTTTCACATAGTGTAATGCCACTCAGAGATACTGTGGTGTACCGGAAAGGGCACGGAATTTGGAAGCAGGAGATGAGGCATATGTCCTGGTTCGACCCTGTATGGGCTGTGGTGACCTTGGGCAAGTCACATAATTTCTGTGAATCTGTTTTCAAGTTTTTTGATGCCAAGTCTAATGTTCTTTCCATTACTACAGCTGACCTGGAGCAAGAGCAGAAATATCTGAAGTGCTAACAGAAATGTATAATCAATATCACATGATCATGAGTGAAACAGTCCATTGTTTGGATTTTCATTTGTGATGGACCATGTTTCCCAAACCAAATCTTCAAATCCCAAGAGGGTCACGGACATATATGTGATTTCTGGGGCTAGGAACTTCAGGGCCTCTCTACAAGATGAAAGTGATTTACCTTCCTGAGCCTTTCTACAACCTCCCCACTCCCATACTTTAAAATCAGTTTAATAAAAGGAGGTGAAGTTAACCTACAGAGTTCTAAATAAATGATAAGGTGATGGCAGATATGTGGGGCATTTGTTTGTTTTGATGAATGGAATGTGGCTTGGAGACTCAAAGAACCAAAGACTCAGTGATCTGGAATTTTACAAATGCAATTGTTTGTGAAAATCATAAAACTTTGCTTTACTCCAACATTCACATTTACCACTTCATAAAGTTATTAACCAAAAACATAGGACTCAATTTTTAAAACCAGCTTGCTGCAGTATAATTTACACACCATAAAGTCTATCAGTCTTGCTAAGTAAGACACTCACAGTGTGCTGCACCAAAGTTCAGAGTCCCTTACCCCACTTCTGTCTTCTTCCTTGTTTCTACATCTTTTTACCACGTATCGTTCTTCCTCTCTCATTTCATCATTTTTCTCTCCTCCTGATCTTTTATTCTACCCTCACCTCATCCTGATCTTTCCTTCTCTCCTCTTCTAAGCCCTACTTGCTTCTTGCATTCCGTCTTCCTTTCTCTCACCTCTATGACTTTACCTTTCTACTCCAGTTACCTATATTTTTCTTTTCTCTTTGCTTTTGTTCTCTCTCTTCATCTCTATTTAACTGGCAATAGTATATCTGAAAGTGTTTCTAAAACGACAACCATCTATATAATGTCATTTCACAATTTATCCTTACTCTTACATGGTGTTTGTTCTTACATCCCTATGGTAGGTGTCTGCATTGTTCCTGTTATCTAATAAATTATGACTAAGATAAATCTACTGAATTCCCATCAACAAGGTATGCTTAATCTTTTTTTCCACTTAATGGAAGAGATGAATCCATGAGTTCAGGCCCCTCATAACCCAAGGCACACATCTGCAAGAGAGCTGACCAGATTCAGAATGTGGTATGCATTTAAAACAGAATAAAGCTAATTGAAATTAAACTCTTGACTAAGAAAGAGGACAGTTTTAAGCCTTTTATAAAGATTTCAACTCAATTAGAATCTGTAAAATACAAAGTGTCTACACAACATAGGTTTAATAAACTCCAATCACTGACATAAAGCTAAAAATATATTAATACAGTAAAAGTCCAATGTTAAATAACAAATTACCGAGTCAATCTTGTGTACCATATTATACGCTTTCAATGATTTATCCCATGTAACTCTGTTTTCAGTTTTGTAGAGGAAATCAGATAGTTTAGATGCTGATTCTGGAAATATTCCTTCAACACGGTATCTATAGTTAACAAAATAAAGAAAATTCAAAATTTAACAAGTTTAGTCTAAGCTGAAAATAAAATGCTATCATAGTATAGACTAATTTAGCAAATAACAGTAAAGAAAACTTGAAGGTGATATCAGCAATTCAAAACACTAATGGTCAATTGGAAGTAGCCAGTTTATTTAAATATGCATTGAAATAATATAAGTTATTTCAAAATTCATTTTTCCACAAATTTTTTAATATTGTTTCTATAGTTGTCTTTTTAAAGGGACTACTTTCATTTAAGGTTTTTCTAAAATCTTTCTTGTAAAAGTTTACCTACTGTATTTATCACAAGCCAACAGTAATTGATGAGAAGTCTGTGTGGTTAAGCAGTTATCTTGTGGCCCCAATTCTTAGTTTAAGGATGTAATGTAAGGCAGAGGTTAGCAAACTTTTCAGTAGAGGTCCAGATGGTAAACAACTTAGGCTTTCAGGGTCTGGTGGTCTATGTCGCAACTATTCAACTTTGTTAGTGTAGCAGTAAAGCAGCCATAGACAATATATTATGATTGGGAATGTCTGTGTTACAATTAAACTTTATTTATAGACACTGACTTTGGAATTTCATTTATTTTTCACACATCAGGATTTCGGCAAATAACTAACCTTTGTGTTCATCCATCAATGAAACTGAGTTTGATTATCCATCAATGAAATTAAGACAATGTGAGGAAACTGGAATAAATGCCACTATTTAGCAGAAGGTTGTTAAAGGAAAATGAAGTCTGAGCAATACTGGCTATACTCTCTCTCCCTGTTAATCATTCTTTTCAAACTAAGGGGACAGGTTTAAGTAAAATCAAATTTTTAAACCTCTAAAAGGTTAAAATTTCTAGAGGAAGTGAGATAAAAACCAAATGCTATTATTACAGAAAATAGTTGTCATATTTATGAATTCTTCTTCCTCTGAATCTTTGTTTTTATGGAATAAGGAATTTATTAGACTATTTCTTTGGATGCTACTTTCTCTTTAAAAGCTCAGTTGGTCCCTAATTTTCTCTATGAGACATCTTTAAATTTCCTTAGTATGTAAGGTTTCTTTCCTTCAGATCTATAAAGTTTTCTTTTTTTTTTTTTTGGAGGAAGATTAGCCCTGAGCTAACTACTGCCAATCCTCCTCTTTTTGCTGAGGAAGACTGGCCCTGAGCTAACATCCGTGTCCATCTTCCTCTGCTTTATATGTGGGATGCCTACCACAGCATGGCGTGCCAAGTGGCACCATGTTTGCACCCAGCATCCGAACCGGCGAACCCTGGGCCGCCAAAGCAGAATGTGCGAACTTAACAGCTGAGCCACTGGTCTGGCCCCTATATATTTATTTTAAAGCTGTGTAGTATGGAAGTTCTCTATATTTTCTATTAAAATCCTTTATTAATTATACACTTTGCAAATATTATTTCTCAGGCTACGGCCTACATTTTCATTTCTTGTGGTACGGAAGTATTTAATTTTAGTGTAGTCAAATTGACCAATATTTTCCATTATGGTTTGTGCTTTTTATGTCTTCTCTAAAATATCCTTCTCTACCCAAAGATCATTAAGATATTCTCCCACATTTTATTCTAAAATTTTATAGTTTGTATTTCACAGTTAGGAGTTTACTTGGAATGAGTATTTGTGTGTAGTATGAGGTCAGGATCTAATTTCACTCTTTTCATATATGAATATTCAGTTATATCTGCAAAATTTATGAAATAGTTCATCCTTTCTCCATTGTTTTGTAAAGCCTTATCTGTCACAGATCAAGTTTCCACATGTGTGTGGGCCTGATCATACCCATATGTTATTGCAAAGCCTACTCAACATTTGAAAGAAGTTCCCCAGAAAAGATAGGAACTTATTAAAAACTCTCTTGACTGGAGTTGGCTTGTAAATAATTCTAATAATAATTTACATCTGTATCTGTATAGTTCTTCACACTGAGACACTTAATAAATATTTGATTTTGCTGATGTTTCATAGTTGCTAGTACTAATACACATAAGCAAAAATATGAAAATATTAAGGGAGTAGCATCCAGAGTCAGCCTGCCTGTTTTCAAATTCCAGCTCCAGCTCTTACCAGTTACGTAACCTGACATAGGTTACTTAGTCTAAGTCTTGTGTCTCCTCATATGTAAAGTGGAGACAATAATATTTACCTCAAAGGGTTGTCAAGAGGACTAAAAACGTTAGCATATTTACAGGATAGCACATGGCATGTATTAACTGTTCAATACATGTCAGCAATTATTACTTCACATACATTGATTCTTTTATGACAGTCATCCCTCTCTGCCTGGTATTATAGGTATTTACGTGTTTTTCTCCCTTACAAAGATTAAAACTCCTTGAGGAAGAAGTCTACTGAATAAAAGAATGAAAAATAAATTTTAAGAAAGTTTTTTTCTTGCGAACGTCACCAAGATTATGAACTTTACAAGTATATGCCTTGTGTTTTGATCACCACTATACTACTAGCACCTAGAAGAGTGCTCAACACATAGAAAGCACGCAATGAATAATCGAATGTAATGAATGAACAACAGTATGTAAAAGAAATCTATATACCTTGTCGAAAAGCCATGGCTGGAAACCATGCCTTTATAAATTAGGACTCTTGTGGAAAGTCCTGTTTTGTCTTCATGTTTTCCCTATTCCTTTTTTTCACCCCATGTAGGGAAAAGTCTTATAATACTGTGACTTTCTTTAAGATTGTCTAGTTATTAAATATTGTACTTCACATTTAAGCCTGTAATCATCTGGAATTTAGATTGGCATGGGTATGAGTTGGGGACCTAATTTCAAGTGTTTATAGCTTCCTGTTTATCAGTCATTAGATAAGCACTCATTGAACACGTACCATGTGTCAGGTATGAGGCTACAGGGGTGCCACAGAATGAAATATTTCCTACCCTGGACTTGCTCTGTGAGAACAATAATTAGAGCTGTATTTACTGAACACCTAATCTGTGCCAGACTGTGCTAAGAGCTCTGTGTACAGAGTTTCACCCAATCCTCAGAACAACCCTGCAAAATATATGCTATTATTATTCTCATTTTACAGATGAGAATACTGACTCAGATACATTAAGAAACATGTTTGAGTTCATTGTAATACATGACTGAAAGTCTGACTGACTCCATAGCCCATACTCTTTTCACTATATTATACTAATTCATGGTTGGGGGCAGTGTTTATATACCTGTTTTGAGACTTGTATGAAAATCATTATGGGAGGAAAAAAGGGTCTCTAATATGCATATGTTTATCAACATCTGAGAATTTGTGATTTTTCATATCCACTGTTTAGGATAGCAGTTGGCAAACTATGGGCCATAGGTCAAACGGAGCCTACTTCCTGTTTTTGTAAATAGTTTTATTGAAGCTCAGCTACATCTATTCATTCACATATTCTCTATGTCTATTTATATATTGTGCTTTTATGCTATAATAGCAGAGCAAGGTGGTTGCAACAGAGACCATAGGAGCTGCAAAGTCTAAAATATTTACTCTCTGCCCTCCATTGAAAAAAGTCTGCTGACCCCTGGTTTAGGCTGTCTACTCAGTGGCTAATTGTTTACTTTCTAGTCATTTGTAAAGGTGAGAAAAGTATGAGTTACAAGTATTATATGACTGCAAGGCATAAAGTATTTATTTTGCTTTCTGGAAGATTGTAAAATATAATTAAGCTGTGCCTTGGGCAGAGGGTAGGCTGCTAGTTAAAATACATCTTACCTTAATTGACTAATTAGACATGCATTGGAGATACTGGCTTTTAAAAAATATGTAAATATCATGCTTCTTTGAAAACACAAAACATCTATGTCTTGAGTACTTGAGTCTATCACTCAATGAGCAATTCAGTATCTGTGTTCAAGGCTCTTCAGAGATATCAATTTTGTCATATTTGAATCTAAGAACTATATTTTTATATCTATTGATCATTAAGATGAAGAGTTCTTTAGATATTTTTACGAAGATCTATAGTAAAGCTTTGTGCTCATTATGAGTGAAGTGACCTCAGGGCAATTAAAAATATTTTAACTATTCTCTCTTGTCTCTTAAAGTTTCCGACAAACTTTAGCCTGTGTCTGGAATACAGTAGTCCCCCCGCCTTATCCACGGGAGATACGTCCCAAGACCTCTAGTGGATGCCTGAAACTGCAGATAGTATTGAAACCGATATACGCCGTGATTTTTCCTATACATACGTACCTATGATAAAGTTTAATTTATAAATTAGGCACAGTAAGAGATTAACAATAACTAATAATAAAACAGAACAATTATAGCAGTATATTGTAATAAAAGTTACCATAGATCTTAGCAACCTCAGCATATGATTTTTTTTTCTTATTAAGCTGAGAACGTCCACATTTTCACTTAAAGCAAGCACTTTATGGCTTCTTTTTGGCAGACTCAAATTGCCAGCATCACAACTCTGACACTTTGGGGCCATTATTAAATAAACTAAGGGTTACTTGAACACAAGCACTTTGATACTGTGACAGTTAACCTGATCAAGGAGAGGCATACTAAGTGACTAATGGCAACAGCATATACAGCATGGATACACTGGACAAAGGGATGAGTCATGTCTTGGGTGGGATGGAGCCAGATGGCCCAAGATTTTATCATGCTACTCAGAGCAGTGTGCAATTTAAAACTTCGGAATTATTTCTGAAATTTCCCATTTAATATTTTTGGACCGTGCAAAGTGAAACTTCAGATAAGGGGGGACTACTGTAACTGATAGATCAGAATTCATGAGATTATGCTTTCTACAGACCATGCAGTTCATGAGCCTTCAGACTGTAGAGAAAAGCTTTCAGTAAATGTGGATTTGTATCAGTATGCTAATTTGAACATGTCTGTAAAAAACTCTATATTCTTTTACGGTTTTTGTGAATGAGTACTGCCAGAATAGTAACAAGGAGGATGAGGGAGGAGGAAAATAGTGTAAAACGTCTATTTTTGCATACTAGAAA